AGGCAGAGGTTGCAGCAAGCCAAGATCATGCCACTGCATTCCAGCCTGGCAACGGAATGAGACTCCATCAAAAAAAAAAAAAAGGATGCTTTGAGTTCAGAAGATAAATTCTCCTAGAAGTTCCAGACAATATACCCTGAAAGAAAGGACAAGTCTACATTGGAGGTTTTCTAATCTTCCAAAGTATGTATACTACTAGCTGCTACTAAGAAAAAAAAACCTCTTAAACCAGCTTTTCCACAACACACCTGTGCTTACCATAGTAAGAACCAGGAATGAACAGATATAAGAATGGAGACAAGTATGTGCGTATGAGCATATATTAGGGGTTCGGGAGACAACTATAAACCAGATAATTCTGAGAACTCCTTCATGGTAGCTTAGGAGCTATCTAAATGGGTTACAGGTGAGTTGAGGTACTGACTCCTTAAGCTATTAGGCTGTCCGGGAAGAAGGTAGGGCATAAGAGTTTTGTTGGGACAAAGAGTCTATTCCAAACTCTGAGGTCAATTTGCCAGAGACATTTATGGGCCTCTGAAAAGGTTCATTATTAGAGGCTTGATCATTCAGTCCTTTATTCACTCAACTAACCAATATTAATTGAGAGTTCACTTTGTGTTAGGCACTGTGTTAAGCACTGAGAACACAATGACCACCTGCAAGAGCAATGGGTATTACTAAAGATATAAACAATTGGCCAGACATTGGCCTGTAATCCTAGCACTTTGGGAGGCCGAGGTGGGAGGATCAGGAGGTCAAGAGATCGAGACCATCCTGGCCAACATGGTAAAACCCCGTCTCTACTTAAAAATACAAAAATTAGCTGGGCATGATGATGCATGCCTGTAGTCCCAGATACTCGGGAGGCTGAGGCAAGAGAATCACTTGAGCCCAGGAGGAGAAGGTTGCAGTGAGCTGAGATTGCGCCACTGCACTCCAGCCTGGTGAAAAAGCGAGTCTGTCTCAAAAAAATAAAATAAAAAAAGATATAAACAATTATAAGACAGTCTACAGTTATATGCTGCATAATGACATTTTGGTAACTAACTGACTGCATTTATGAAGGTGATCCCATGCATTTTTACTATATCTTTTCTATGTTTAGATACACAAATAACCATTGCATTACAATTGGTTACATTATTCAGCACAGTAACATGCTGTACAGGTTTACAGCCTAGGAGCAGTAGGCTATACCACATAGCCAAGGTGTGTAGTAGGCTATACCATCTACTTCAGTGAAAGTATACTCCATGATGTATGCACAACAACAAAATTGCCTAATTGTTGCATTTCTTAGAATGTATCCCCAGGCCGGGCGCGGTGGCTCAAGCCTGTAGTCCCAGCACTTTCGGAGGCCGAGGCGGGTGGATCACGAGGTCAAGAGATAGAGACCATCCTGCTCAACACGGTGAAACCCCGTCTCTACTAAAAATACAAAAAAAAATTAGCTGGGCATGGTGGCACGTGCCTGTAATCCCAGCGACTCAGGAGGCTGAGGCAGGAGAATTGCCTGAACCCAGGAGGCGGAGGTGGCGGTGAGCCGAGATTGCGCCATTGCACTCCAGCCTGGGTAACAAGAGCGAAACTCCGTCCCAAAAAAAAAAAAAAAAAAAAAAAAAGAACGTATCCCCCTTGTTAAATGGCTCATAACTGTAGGTCAACTATGTAGCTCAGTGGTTAAGAGCATGAAACATCCAAACTTAGGCCTGATTCTGGCTTCTCTACTTCTTGGCTCTGTGATAGAAACAAGTACTTTCATCTTTCTTGATTTGTGTCTACACCTATTAAAACCTGGATAATACAAATTAAGTACAGAAACCTTGCAGCACAGCTGCCAGTACTGCCACCACCTTGAGTCAGGAGAACCAAGCCCAGGCTGGGGTGTTGGAAGTCTGGGGATCCCAGCCTCAGTCACTATGGACAGTATTTTTCTTTGTAGCTCTGGGCCATACCCACTCCTTTATGTTCAAGGAAGAGGAATAAGATAATATGAAGCATGCCCTGGCATTAACTATGCTCTGCTTCACCAAGGGGGCTAACGATGAGCGTAATGTGGTAGAAGCTATAACCTGGAACTATGACTACCAGGAGATTACTTACAGTCCCTGTGGTCAACCTCAAGTTGTCCTGTCAACCCAAGTTACAATACGCAATGATGTTTCTGAGGAAGAGACGGAAGCTGAGTTGTGCCCCACCCTTCCTGAGAAAAAACAGCGGGGATAAACCCTATCCCTCATTGTTTAGCTAGCTGCCTGCTATATATGCCATATACTATCTTCCTGGACAAGATTCAAGAATTCTGAATGTCTCTTCTCTGATGAAGAGGAGAGTCTGGGGTGAGGGGGTGAGTGGGTGGCACTTGGGCCAGTGCTAAAAGAAAAGGAGGCTTGTTCTCCATAAGGCCCTGGTGTTCTGGTCTTATACCATGTCTAGTGCTTACCTTTTCTCCAAGGGTGGGAAGCACTCTGAACTTCTATCCTGATCCTCTCTCCTCATCTGCCTGTGAAGACTGGCGGTCAGTATCCAAAACTCAGGACTACACATTTTTTACATTTTTTGGATGAAGTTTGAAATAAAATGGTGTGGAATGTTTTGCCAAAAAAAAAAAAAAAAGGATTAAGTAAAATAATAAAATAATGAAAAACTGGGTACAGGAACTCTCGAGGTTACTCAACAGTATGCTGAAGGGTACAAAAAAAATAGGCGCATCTTTCTGGGGTGTTAATTTTACCAGACAGTAAATAATTTAAAGCATTTGTTTTATAGAAAACAACTACATAATGGTGCCTTAAGGCAAAATCCTTATGAATTTTGAAGATAAGACATAGACTTCAAACAACTTTTAAACTTGGAGTAGCTGCTGTGGGCTATTCACTCCCCCATCAATCCAGAGATGAATTCATTCTCCTCTGATAGCGGGTACACTTTGGTAGAGAAGTTTCCAAAACACGGCGTATGGCCCATAATGGACCTCAACAAACAGCAACCATTACTGTTAATAATAGATACCTGTTATAATAAACCCAACCACTGGAGGAACAAACTGGGTGGGGAAGGGGTCCTCTCTACTCAGACACCCTTTTTTTCCCCCAAGCTCTGGACACCTCTCCGGTTCCTGACTAGAATCCCTGTGATTTCATGGGAAGTAGAAATCTAAGAAGCTGGCCAATTCTGACCCCAAATGCTAAGGAATTCTCTTTGGAAGACAGATCAGCACTAGTAAAGTTACTAATCTCTTTTTTTTTTTTTTTTTTTTTTTTGAGACGGAGTTTTGCTCTTGTTACCCAGGCTGGAGTGCAACGGCGCGATCTCGGCTCACAGCAACCTCCGCCTCCTGGGTTCAGGCAATTCTCCTGCCTCAGCCTCCTGAGTAGCTGGGATTACAGGCACGTGCCACCATGCCCAGCTAATTTTTTGTATTTTTAGTAGAGACAGGGTTTCACCGTGTTGACCAGGATGGTCTCGATCTCTTGACCTCGTGATCCACCCGCCTCGGCCTCCCAAAGTGCTGGGATTACAGTTACTAATCTCAACAACCTCTTGGGGACTCAGCCTCCAAGCAGTTAACCCTCAAGATAAGCGTAGTCAGTCCAAAGATCAATGCAGCTCTACCCACGACTAGATCTGTCACATTTAAAAGGTTCTTCCAGATCAATTATCTCCTTAAAGTTTCACAAACAAGTGATAGATAAGGTAGGTAATATTATTCCTATCTTTACAGAGGAGGCAACTGAGGCCCTTGGAAGTAAAGTAACTTATTAAAGTTTTTAGAGACAGAGCCAGGAGTCAGACTCCGGTCTTCAGACTTCAAGAATAGGCACTCCCCACTACATTAGCAACAGAAGTCATTCCAATAAGAATCTATGCAGCACAGTCAAAAGCTCTTCCAGTCCTGTGTCAACATCCCACTGATTTTCAGCTGTATTCAGGGCCACAAAAATTGTATTACCATTGATTAAGAACCACACGTAACTAATAGAAAACTAAATTAAACTCCATGAGCTTAATTAGCAGGAAAGGAGAAGTCACTCACTGGTGGTAGCTATGGCTATACCTCACCTTTCATAAAATACTTATGAACAGACTTTCATGGTCTATTGAGCTTGCCCAGGAACATCAGAAGCTCCAAAGAAAGAAGCTCTGGACTGTCACTGTAGAAGAGGGCTCTGAGTAAGGGTACTGAGCTCACCTCATCTTATCTGTTCCCGAACGCTTCATTAACACCCAGATTAATTAATTAACATTAATTCCAAGAAGGGGCATAGAAAATTACATTCACAAGAAGATGCAAAAGAAACAGACTAAGGGAAGGAAACAGTCAGCCAGTTATTTATAATAAAAGAGATCTAACAAAAATTTAAAGATTAACAGCCAGATTGTTAGAGCTAAAAGAGAAATTACTAAACAACTCATATAAGCCCCTCATAGCCTGGATGGGAAAGTGAAGGCAAGAGAAATGGGTAGTGCTTGTCAAGTGTCTCCCAGCTGTTAGAAGCAGAATCAGAATTACAAGTTAGTAACTCCTCCTCTCACGCTTCAAGATCCACACTTGCCTTCTCAGAAGCCTTTCCTGACACCAGCCTCTTGATAGGGACAGGGGGCAGAGAAATTCTCAGCAGAAAAGAGCAGGTCCCGAGTGAAACCCCACCCTCAAGCCGAAAAGCCTGAAACCATGGCCCAAAGTGATAACTTATATCCCTGTTTTCCTGCTCAAATGTTGCCTTTTCCTAAACCACCTGTGGCCCCCCCCCCACCTCCCCGCATCATGTGCCTATAAAAACTCCAGATTCAGTTGGTAGATGGGACTATCTCCCAGCTGAACGGAGAGAAGTGGCTTGACTTCAGAGGGACAGCCTGACAGTGTAACTTCCGAGAAGAATCTGGCTGGAGATGGCTGGACTTCAGGAGAAGTTTACCTATCTGCCCCGTCCTCTTTTCAGCCCCCCTTCCTGCTGAGAGCCACTTTCATCAGCAATAAAATCCCCTGCATTTACCACCCATCAATTCATTTGTGAGACTTCATTTTTCCTGGATGCCAGACAAGAGCTGGGGAGCCACAAATGTGGACACAAAAAGGCTGGCACACTGGCCCTTTGTACTCACTGGTGGAAGGCAGCCTCACACAAAAAGGAAAAGGGCCCACTGAGCTGTTAACACTTAAGCCATCCATGGACAGCAGAGCTAAAAGAGCACTGTAACTGAGGCTTCAGGAGTCGAAGGCACCCCCACCTGGACACTGCCTTGGGGCCTACACAGAGTTCTCTGCTGCTGGAGCTCAAAAGCGGCTGACTGGATCCTGTACTCGCCTACTGCTCCCTCCCACAAAGGGTTGAGTGAGGCAAGCTGAGTAAGCAGAGTTTGTTCCTGCCAGCACCCAAAAGCCCTTGCTCCAGTTCCTGCACTGGTTCACTCACACGCTCCCTCCCACAAGGGGTAGGCAAGGGCAGGATGAGTAAAGGAGGCACCCCTGTCACCAGTCGCAAGTCCTGTGAAGGGGTCAAGAAAATATCCTGCTTCACTGTGACAGAGTTGTGGCCCTCCATACACACCATGCTTCCACAACAATTTATACATCTATTTATTATGTTAGGCTTTTGGAATATAGTGGCACATCCCTCTGAGATAGCATACGTCTCAGTATATCTGTCTTCCTACGCTCCTGTTTTTCCATTTCTTACAGATCTGTGCTGGTTAAGGTGAAGTCTACGGAGGGACCATATGCACAAAGGACAATCATTGTATGTATGGGTCTTTATAAAACTGGTAATCTTAAAATTTAAAGAACAGGGTATATAACAAAATTGGAAGGTCAGAATTAATCCAGTCCAGTTTATTTAGGCCCCCTCCTGTGGCAATAGGATCTTTCTCACCTGGATACCTAATCTCTAAAATAGGCAGGAGCAGATCTCTACAGGAGGGGAAGAGAGCATTTACGTGGATTACTCCTCTTTTTAACAGCTCCTAGGCATCTTGAGGCACAATCTCCTAATTTTCTGAAAAGGAAACAACTAAAATAAAGGAACTCTTTAATTCTAGGCTCTCCCTTTATTCAGCATGGAACAAAGAAAAAAATAGGGCCTTTGGAGCCAGGCAAACTGGAAGGAAATCTTCTATGACCTTAGAAAAGTCATTTGACCTCTCTGCATCCGCTTTTTAACTGATGAGTTTTTTAACATCTATCTTCTAGGGATGTCATGAGGATTAAATGAAATCAAATACATAAAGCATCTATCTTGTGCCTAGTACAAGTTCAATAAATAGCCACCATAGAATTGCTCTTACTTGAATCAGGGCTGGAACCTGGTATTCCCTAGAGCTCTGTTCAGTAATCCTGCTACCATCAAAGATTGGCTTACCAGAGAAACGATGTGACCACCAGCACCCCGGAGGGTGGCAAAGCAGGTTTAAAATACCTTGATGCAAAACCTTAAATAAAATCTCTCCAGACATAAGCACCAACCTAAATATTAATTCAAAACTCTCAGCATGGTAATGAATAAAGATTTTTCCTCCTACCAGGGCAGAAGACAGGCAAGAAAGTGAGCTACAGGACAATTTTCCATCATTTATAGAAATATGCCAATGACTGAATATGCTGCTATGTCTTGAGCTAATTGTGAGAATCCATCATTGTGAACAGATACATAGAAAGCATGTCTCCCACTGTCATGCAGGGTGATGACTATTCTTTATTTGCAAAGAATAGTGTGATATAGCAAGACTTGAGCCAGAAAAAGAAAAAAAAAACACTTACCTGATACTTTCTTTTATGCAATGGTAACAAACTACATGACACTGACAGTTTTTTGTTGTTATTAAGAATACCTACATTGGGAATGAAGTTATGGACAAAGGCAGAATAGGAAAAGAGTTACCTGTCGTCCATAGGAATCCTCCACCTAAACAACTATCAAGCCAGCAGAAACCATCTGAAGTAACTATTTTGGAGTTCCAGAGTCTAATCAGAACACTTGCAGTATCCAGAGGGAGGGTTTGATAAAGACACTAGTAAAATTTTCAGGACATTTCAGCCTTTTGCTCAGTGGCTACCATCCCAGGCCCCTGGTGCAGACTGCTGGAGCTGGATGTGCCATAAGGACCTTGGCCTCCAAATATGGGGGTTACGCATTCTGACTGTTAAGTTTTGATCACTGAGACACCAGCACAGAGGCTGACAGCCATTGTTTCAACCTCTACTGGCCAAAGCAGATTCCAAGGTATTTACAAGAACAGATGAATGAATAAACAAACATTGTACAATCCTACTTATATGAAATATCTAGAATAGGCAAATTCATAGAAACAGAAAAAGCCAAGTACAATGGCTCATTCCTGTAATCCTAGTGACTTGGGAGACTAAGGTGGAACAGTTGCTTGAAGCCAGAAGTTTGAGACCAGCTGGGCAACAGAGAGAGATCACTTATTTAAAAAAAACTTTTTTTTAGTGAGCTATGAACGCACCACTGCACTCCAACCTAGGGGACAGTGAAACTCCATCTCATAAGAAAAAGAAAAAAAAGAAATAGAAAGATTAGGGGTTACCAGGTGCTAGAGGGAGGGCAAAAGAGGAGTAAAAGAGAAGTTATTGTTTAATGATTACAGAATTTCTGTTAATGAAAAAGTTCTGAAAATAGTGGGGATATTTACACAACATTGTGAATGGACTTAATGCCACTGAATTACATACTTAAAAATGGTTAAAATTGGCCAGGTGCAGTGGCTTATGCCTGTAATCCAGCACTTTGTGAGGCTGAAGTAACAGGATCAACTTGAGCCCAAGACAAGGAGGCTGCAGTGAACTGACTGTGCTACTGTACTCCAGCCTAGGTGACAAAAATAAAAATAAAAAATTTTTAGAAGGCTAAAATGGTAAATTTTGTATTACATATATTTTAGCATAATAAATTTTTCACAAGCATACTCATATTTCATATAAGCTGGCTTTTATAAGCCTTAGGACCTTGAGAAAGTTATTTAACTTAGTTGAACCTTATTCCCTCATATGTAAAATGATAATAGCTCTCCCTTGAAGGAGTATCATGAAAACTGGAGAAAATGTTTGTAAAGTGCCTGGCACTCCACTGACAGTAATTAATGGTAGTTATTACTATAATAATTAACACCAACAATAAAATTTGTATAAACTAATAAGGATAATAATTTAATTCAACATATATTTAATGAACTAACTGCCGCCTCTGTTCTAGGCACAGGAAGTACATGATTTCTGCCCTCAAGGAGCTCACAGTCTAGAAAAACATACAAATAAACAACTTTTTGTAGAGAACAGGAAGCCAAGGAGAATTTAGGAGCAAAAAAATAACCCAACAACAGCAATACTTCTTTGTTTGGGAGAAAAAGTTATTATTGTTTACAGAGGTGGGAAATCATTTTGTAACCCAGGAAAGTACATCAGTCACAAGCAAACATGTAGTTTATTGTGCATGATTCTTGCCCCAACAAGGTTTAATCCATCTGTTTTTAGCATCACACACAGTATCAGAGACAGATACAAAATCACTGCTTATATGCACTACAAAACCCAGAGAGGACTTGCCTGACACTTTGGTGGAGTGGAAAGACCTTGGATTTCTGAATCTTTCCTCATCTGTAAAATAAATGTTCTAATAGAAATGTCTACCTCACAGTACTATTATAAGGATTAAATGAGATCACAAATGGTAATTTTAAGTTGTAAAGTATTGTGCTTCTCATGTATTATTATTTGGGGTTTTGTGAGCCTTTGTTCTCACATGCTTCTGAGAAAATTTGTCATAGGAGAGCCAAATTTTGTTTTTATTTTGTTTTGTTTTGTTTTTAGAGATGGGTTCTTGCTCTGTCACCCAGGCTGGAGTGCAGTGGCATAATCATGGCTCACTGCAGCCTCAACCTCCCGGGCTCAAGCAATCCTCCCACCGCAGCCTCCTGAGTAGCTGGGACAACAGATATGTGCCAACATGTCCAGCCAATTTTTAAATTTTTTGCAGAAATGAGCAGGCTGGTCACGTTTTATTTTTAAAAATCAAATCTCCTGAGCAAAGCTGCTGCCACTCAAAATGAGCTAGCCCAAGGCTGACTATATAGGTAATAAGAAGTTTGAAGACAGCTCTTTCTTGCTAAATAGCTCAAAGGAATTGTCAGACTTCCACTAACATTGTTCTAAAAAAGAATATTTGCTATAAAGCAAGTAGGCAAGGGAAGAGGGTCTCTTGTTTTATCTGAGGGTCTCTGCTGTCTCCATGACTTAAAAACAGAAAAGTCTCCCTGTTCCATCTGGTCCATCCAGAGGGGTTGACCAGTCACAACAGATAATCCAAATGAAATTTTTATTCACCTACAAAGCAGAAAACAATCTCTAACACACTGGCTACCTGTCCCAGACTCTCCTTGCCATATCAGAGGGCCACTCATTAGCAAGGATAGACAAATCACAGGAGTCTTTTCCTCAAACCCATCTTATACTTCTCTGTTGTGACTTCCTTCACTCATTAGAGTCTCATCTCCTTCCCTTTATTTCTTTCTTCTTCCCTCTTTCTTCCTTCAAAATTTGCTGACAGCCAACTCTGTACCAGTCCCTGTGCTAGGTGCTGGGGACATAATGATGACAAATAATAAACGAAGGCTACTAAAGCTTTTTTTTTTCTTTTTTGAGACAAAGTCTCACTTTGTCACCCAGGATGGAGTGCAGTGGCACAATCTCAGCTCACTGCAACCTCCACCTCCTGGGTTCAAGTGAACCTCCTGCCTCAGCCTCCCGGGTAGCTGAGATTACAGGCATAGCACCACATCTGGCTAATTTTTTTGTATTTTTAGTAGAGATGGGGTTTCATCATGTTGGCCAGGCTAGTCTTGAACTCCTGACCTCAAATGATCTGTCTGCCTTGGCCTTCCAAAGTGCTGGGATTATAGGAGTGAGCCACTGTACCTGGCTAATTCTTTAATAACTAATAGGAGCCTAACTACGTGCCTGATGCTTTACACATATTATGTCACTTAATCATCAAAGCACTTTTTTTTTTTTTTTGAGACGGAGTCTTGCTTTGTCGCCCAGGCTGTAATAGAGTGGCACGATCTCGGCTCACTGCAACCTCTGCCTCCTGAGTTGAAGAGATTCTCCAGCCTCAGCCTCCCGAGTGGCTGGGACTACAGGCATGTGCCACCATGCCTAGCTGATCTTTGTATTTTTAGTAGAGATAGGGTTTCACCATATTGGCCAGGCTGGTCTTGAACTCTTGACCTCAGATAATCCACCAGCCTTGGCCTCCCAAAGAGCTGGGATTACAGGTGTGAGCCACCGTGCCCAGCCCATCAAAACACTTTTGAAGTAAGCAGATACTATTATCCCTACTTTGTAGAGGATATCCCTACTCAGAGAGGTAGGAAATGACCAAAGATGATAGAATTACCTTGTTTAAAGAAATCTAGCGAAGTGCCTTGGAAATAAAAAAGCAGCTAAAAGGTGAGTAGAAAGAGAACTAGATTGGCTGCGAGAGGTCTGGGTTCTACCTCCAGCTTTGACATCTATCTGTCCATCCATTTGTTGAAACACTAGTCAATATTCATTGCATGCAGGGGCCTAGCTGGGTATTAGAGATACAGGAATAAATCAGATACTGAATTCACTGTCAATCTTTTTTATTAAGACAAGGTTTCCACTCTGTCACCCAGGCTTGGGTGCAATGGTATGAGCATGGCTCACTATAGGCTTGACCTCCTGGGCTCAAGTGGCCCTCCTGAGTACCTCAAACTACAGGCAGGTGCCACCACACCCAGCTAATTTTTAAATTTTTTATAGAGATGAGGTCTTGCCATGTTGCTCAGGCTAGTCTCAAACTCCTGGCCTCAAGAGATCCTCCCGCCTCACCCTCTTAAAGTGCTGGGGTTACAGGTATGAGCCACGGCGCATGGCCCACTGTGAATCCTAATATGTGCTTTCCTTAGGCACTTATCAGACTTCATGTTTCTCATCTAAGAATAGGGTTGGATTTGATGGTCTCTAACAATCTTATAATTCTAAATAAAAACATAATACCAGCCACCAGCTGGACTGGGAATATAGATAAATAGGATGAGCAGGAGATGTGCTGGAGATATCTAAATGCTCAGGTCATAAAAGCTTTCTATTGCAAGCTAAGGAGTTTGGACTTTATCCAAAGGACAGTGAAGAGTAATTGAAGGGTTTTAAGCACTGAGGTGATGTCAAATTTTCAAGAGAGAAAAATGATTATGGCTGTTATGTAAAGAATGGACTGGGGACAGGGTATATGACAGGAGTTAGGAAGTCCAGTTAAGAGGCAACTTAAATAATCCCAGAAAGAGTAATAATGACCTGAATGATAACAGTGGGAAGGATGGTGAAGAAAGGTCTAATCTAAGAAATGTAAGGAAGGTTTTTTGAAAATAAAAAAGATATTTCATATCCATTATGATGGCTATTATTTAAAGACAGAAAAAAAATAAGCACTGGCAAAGCTGTGCAGAAACTGAAACTTTTATAAACCACAAGGGAGAATGTAAAATGGTGCAGCCACCAGGAAAGCAGTATGGCAGTTCCTCAAAAAATTAAAAATAGAATTACTGTATGACACAGCAATTCCATTTCTGGATATATACCCAAAAGAATGGAAAGCAATGTCTTCAAGAGATATTTGTACATCCATGTTCATAGCAGCATTATTTACAATAGCCCAAAGGCTGAAGCAACCCAGTGTCCACATGCCACTGCATGCGGTATGTGTATACAATGGAATATTATTCAGTCTAAAAAGGAAGGAAATCCTGACACACTGATAAGTGAAATAAGCCAGTCACATAGGGACAAATACTACATGATTTCATTTATATGAGCATCTAGACTAGTCAAATTCAGAGACAGTAAGTAGATTGGTGATTGCCAGGAGCTGGGGGAGGGTGAAATGAAGTGTTATTGTTTACTGGGTACTGAACATCAGCTTTGCAGGATGAAAGGAGTTCTGTGGACCAATAGTGACGACAGTTGCAAAACAGTATGAATGTACTTAATGCCACTGAATAGTACACATAAAAATGGCCAGGTGAGGAGGCTCACACCAGTGATCTCAGCATTTTGGGAGGCCAAGGCAGGCAGATCACCAGAGGTCAGGAGTTTTGTTTAAAACTCACTGCAATCTTCGCCTCCCAGGTTCAAGCTATTTTCCTGCCTCAGCCTCCCAAGTACCTGAGGCTACAAGTGCACACCACCACGCCCAGCTAATTTTGTATTTTTAGTAGAGACGGGGG